TATACATGCTCTCTTTTCTATTTAAAGATGGTCACACAGGGTTTGTGTCAAAAAGAAGTTTAAGGTGTGCTCTCCTTTAACCATTAACAGGTCCAAGGACTAAACACAAGGTTAGGATATGTTTGTGATATAAGGTGTTTTCCCAGGGGCAGTTATATGTTGCAAGAGGGTGTTTGATCATAAGTGAATAGTATAACATTAACAGCAAATTATCTGCAGTAAAAAGTGTTAGCCTGTCCTGAAAGCAGAAAAAATACTGCTTCTACGTGACTTCTGACCAGGCTACTGATTCTGAGTTGCTTTTACCTCTTTGCGTAAAGAGCATTTTGTTTTCCAGTCGCTGGTATGTTACTTAATACAAGGCAAGACCTAAAAGCTCTTTATCCCTTCATCTTTCCTTTCTTGCCCACAGGATTAAAGGCTGTAAGCACAGACTTTAAGGAGGTGCTTAAATGGGGTTGGTCTTGTTCCATTCTGCTTTAATACCTTGTCAAAGCTACTAGGCTTTCACCATGGCATTCTGCTTTAAAGACCTCCTACAGTTTCTAACGAGATCTTCTTTTCCATATATTTTCTCTTACTGGTCCCAAAAATTCACCACAACACTGTCTTTCATTTGTTTGGTTTTTGGGATGCCCCATTCCCCTCCCCCCACCCCCCTGCCCTGGGTAATTAGTTGTATTTTTTTCTCAATAAATGTTCAGAACTCCTGTGCATGGAAAACAGTATGTAATTATCTTGTCTATGCATAAAACATAGTCTGTCTTGGAAATTCTTTGGAGTTATATATACTGTACAGAGAAGTTGTCATTTATGCTGTGTCTGTAACTTAATTTCCTCCCTCAGACTGTATATAGCAATTAAACCTCTTAGTAGTTATAATGTCTGTTTATTCACATCTGTGGTTATTGATGACTGTGTAACTTTGTGCAGGCTCTTGTCTGTTAGTAACATATATGTGGCTTTATCTTAATTGTCCTTAAGTTACCTTTCCTGCTACTTACAGTCCTATTCCTGAAACAACTGACTTGCTTAGTCTCTAAATATTCTATTATGAAGTACCACATATGCTTTCTAAAAAAGCTATCAAATGACACACTCCAGTCCTACTCTAATATTTTTTCCTTTGTTAGGTCAGTGTTACTCAGTCGGCCTGAAATGATGAAATGACAGAGCATGAGATTTCCAGCATTTCTCGTATGTGTATGCAATTGCATAAATAAACTGTGGATTCAAGAAAAAACTATGGCATGAAGCAGTGGTATCATCCTATAATAGAAAAAACCCAAAGCTTTAACATTTTAATGAGGTGTGAGTTACATAGGTATACTACATTTTTGATGGCCTGAATATAATAAAAATATAAAACTGAAAATGGTGCAGTAGTTTTTTAAAAAATAATGATAGTATTTTGTAGCACAATTTCATTGTTGTATTATCATGTCCATTCAATATTCTGGGACTCAATGCGTTGAATTTGTGATTTTTAAACCTAATTTCTCCAGGCAGATGCTTCTAGGTCCCAGGATAGGATCTTTTGTCATGTTTACTCTTTTCATAAAGAACAAAATATCCTCTCTTTTATAGATGCCTGTCATTTTAGGAACCTGGAGAACTAAGATACAGCTATTATAACAAAAACCTTTCTCATAAGCTTTTGTATTGTTGGCACCCAATTTTATCATGAGGCTCAAGTAGTGCTATTTTTATCCCTCAGATCTGGATTTAATGAATTTTTTATAGCCATCAGAATATTAACAAGAAATATTTGCATGATACTTTTTTCTTTTTTTTTGTCTTCAAAGTGAGTGAACTGTTTTTACCATTTTATTCTTATTCCCTGATAAACTTACAAGTTGTAAAAGATGGCATATGTGGGAGTCTAGTGTTGATAGCTCTGGAGCATGCCTGGGAAAAGGACACAGCAAAGGTGTAGAGCTGAAGTTGGTAGGAGAATCATGTTTTGGTAGGCTTTGATCAGTACAGCAAGCATGTCTCAGGGAAGCTGGGATGAATAAAATAAAGAGTTTAATGCCGTAGTTTAAATGCCATTTAAAACCAAGCAAAAGCTAAAGACATGGGATGATAGAAGATAGGGTGGGAAGAAATTTTATATTAATGTATTGTTGTCTGTCTTCTTCATGTAAAGAGACAAGATAGCTATTTTCTCATTGTTAGTTGCAAATCTGTTTGAAAATAGCCTTGTGCATCAGTATTTTACTAGCTTATTCTTAACATCATATGATCCATTATGATCCATGATTCTGGGCCACTTTATCTTTTATTTGAGAATATATGCACAGTTAAATATAGCGTACCCACTGATTTAAAAGCTATAGTTTACCTATTTTGGGGTTTTTTTTGGTATCCTCAACACTGAAGAGTCCAAATAAACAGGAATTGTGACATAAAGCATAGCCAGCTCATGCAGTTACAGGACCCAGAGAGAAAGAAATGTATTTCAGGTCTGTGGTGCTCTCCAGAGTCCTTCACATTACATCAAAAAAGACTAGTGAGGGGATTAAGTAGGAGCTGTAGAACTGAAGGTATGACTACCTCATTCATTCCTGATGCAGTTTTAAACTAGCTTATTTACATACTAAAATGCCATAGAACAGCTGGTCGTCTATCAAAATCCTCAGATTGATTTTGAAGGTCGCTGAGCTCTGTACTAGCAGTCGTCAAGGTAGGTAATTAAAACCAGTGCAGCAACGTCTACACAAGCTGTAGCTACACCACAAAACATAGCCATGTTGGTGGAATTCCAGTTAAGCAATACTTCAGTGTCATTAATGGCACAAAAGTTTAAGCATGTTGTAGATTATACCTGAAATTGGTAATATTTAAAAACTTATAATGCAGAGAGAAATAATATGTTGATAGGCTTTTGTCCCTCTAGTTTCTGAGTTTTACCAGTGTGTTTTCAGATCACCCCCGCAGTGTCCCCAGGTAGCTCTGCACCATGGAATGCCGGAGGGAAAGGTGAAGAGGGGAAGTGACCTGGGAGAGAGGGACTGTGTTAAAACTCCGGTGCTCTCAGTGAGTTTACCCTTGCACTTGGAACCTCTACATTATTTTTTTTTCTCTATAGATGTACATTTTTCAGAAGTATGAAAGAATAGAAAATGAATCAACTTGCTATAGTAGAGTTCCTTTTAAAATTGAGACAAATTAGTTTTGTCATTGCAATATATTGATTTTGCTTACCTTTATTTCTCCATGTAAGCCTAGTAAGTAAGTGTCCACATACTGTTTTTCTGAAGTACAGTTAATTTTTAATGTAAGTATCATAAATACCATAATCTTTCCCACAGTCCCGAGTGAAACTTTTTTATAACACTCTTCGTAAGTCAGGATAGTATGGTAAATTCTTGTATGTTTTTTATATCCATTTGTTGTTACACAACATAAAGAAACTTTGCAAATACAGGTGATGGAAACATGCTTTAAACATCCCTCTGTCGTTATTTTCATCTTTATTAAATGGCCAAAGGAGCAAGGATTCACAGTTCCTTTTTCATGTAGGCATGTAGAGGATAATGTTAAATAAAAAGGGGAAGTTTAAGTGCTTATCAATCAGTATTTTGGCAAAAAGAAAGTATTTTAAAAAAAGTTCTAGTGAAATCAGATTATAAATTATTTAAGTTGCAGCACCACACACATTTAAAAAAAGGATCAATGACTCATTGCAGATTTATGCAGGTTTTATTTTCAGCCTTCTAGGTGCATCTTCTCTCTCCTTTAGAAAGGCATTGTTTTTTTGCTTTGACTTTTTAAAAGGACTGTAATAGAGTCAAATTTGGCTACTGTCCAAATTATACAGATGTTCATTATACAGAGGAAAACTTGCAAGTGTTAGTTACCTTCTGCTGTGTCAGTTTGAATACTGTCATGGCGTGCCTTGTGAGGAAGAAGGGGGCATTTCAGAGAGTCTTTAGCGAGGATTTAAAAATGGTAATTCAAGGATGAGTTTTGCTGTTTGTAGTCAAAACTCATAGTGATAAAATTGACTGGATTAAGGGATCTAGAATTTAATCCTGTATTTGTGATAAGGAATTTGGATATTTAGATAATTAAATTTACTGGACATTTTATGTATGTATTTATATATAGGTTTGTGTGAGTTGAGGCACTTTGTGAAACTGTATTGAACTGTGTTGGTAACAGTAAGGAAAACAGCTTCATGTTTTAATATATGCAACAATCTTTAAATATTTTCATATTTATGCTTGTAACATCTCTATTAGGTATTTGAAAGACCTGGTGTATTGAAGCAGAGAAAGTTATTCAGAGGCACCAACTACAAAAGCAAACATGACAGTTGCTACTCTTTTATATGTAAAAAGTCTGTAACCTTAAAAACAGCCTTAGCAGGAAACACCACCCCAAAGGTAAAACTCTGCCTTTTTTTTTTTTTTTTTTTTTTTTTTTTCCTTTCTTTGAGCGTTTGATCATCTGAATATTCTCTGTTGCAGGTGCAAACTCATTTTCTACAGTGCAGTATCTGAACATGTTATCTGGGCAAACACTAAGCGGGCGCATAAAAAGCACTTTTCAGTCTAGGTCGTCGTTTCTGGAGGAAAATGCTTTCCTTCCTCAGGTCTGCTCAGCGGCCTCTGAAATCCGGACCCGAGGAGGCGGCCGGGCGGCGCCGGGCCGGGCTCTGCCCCTTCCTGCGCCGAGCACGACCCCGAAACGGAGCGAGTGGCCCGGCCGCGGCCTCCGGCAGCCGCCTCAGCGATGCGGAAAGGGCGGCGCCGCCGGCACCGCCCGCTCCCGCTGCGGAAGGGGCGCCTGCAGGGCCCCTGCCGGGGCTCGGCGCAGCCGCGGGGCGTTTCTAACCCGCGGGCCGGGGTCAGAGCGGCCTCCTGATGCCCTCAGCTCCCGCCCCGCTCAATGATGGCGGCGGGCGGGGCTGCCCGACGCTAAGATGGCGGCCCGGCGAGCGCAGTTCCCCCAGCCTCCCCCGCCACCGCCTCCCCGGCGGAGGGCGGGACTTCCTGCGGCGGGGCGGCGCGCAGCCGCGATGGTGGCGGCGTGAGCGCGGCGGGCCGGCGGCAGGCACCGTCCCCACTGGGCGCGGCGGCGGCGGGCCGGGCCGGGTATGGAAGTGGAGAAGATGGATGAGAATGAATGGAAGTACCACGGGGAAGGCAACCAGAGCCTCGTCGTTTCCCACTGCCAGGTGAGGGGGGGCTGCGGCGGGTAACGGCCGGCGGCGCACGGGCGCCCCTCCCCCGCCCCGCCGGGCCCGCGCGAGGGGGGCGCCGCCCACGCCACCGCGCTCCCTCAGGGGCCGCAGCCGCGCCGCCGTGTCCGCGGGAGGGCGGGCGGGGGTCCCCGGCTGCCCCGCTGCCGCCCGGCGTGGTGCCTCCCCGGGCGGGCGCCTCCAGGTGCTCGGGCCTCCCCCTCGGCGGGAGCGGCCACCCGGCCGCCGCCCTCCCCTCCTTTCTGTCTCGGAGCGGTTGTCCGTTCCGCTCGCTGGGTGCTTGTGTGCTGAGGGGAGCGCGCGGGGCCGCTGCGCCCGTCCTGTGGGATCGCTGAGATCGGCAGGCGTCTTCCTCGGCTCTCCCTTACGGCTTGTGTGGGCTTGGCAGCAGAAGTAGTGGAAGGGAAAGCAGCTGATGACTAGACAGCTGTCGTCTGGAGACGGGAGTTGTGAGGAAAAGTACTTAAAATGTCCCTTTTCTACCATAATGCCGGTGTATAAGTGTAACAGGAGAAAGAAATCTGGAAAAGGAATTATTTTCCTTTTGTTACTGCTCTGTACAAGAGTTTGAACGCTTGCTGCAGTGCTGAATGGGGACTCCAGAATACAATTTCGGTTTCTGGTTTGGTCGTAGACCTCTGAGTGAATGGGCCAGTCGCTTCATCCCTGTGCTTCGATTTACCCTTTGAGGGGTTTTCTGGTTGATTTTTTTGTTTTGTTTTGTTTTTTGGGGAAAGGGGGTGTTAATTAAGAAAATATCAAAATAGATTCAGCGTTTTGGTGAGCTGTAACAATTAAATGATGCTAAATTAAATCAAGCAGATTCTGTGTCAGTTTAAAAAGCATGTGTTCAGTTGACTGCTGTCACTGTGTTCTTGCACCACTTGTATGTATATTCCTTTCTTAATATACTGGTATATGTGCCTCTTGAAGGGGTTTATTCTTTTTCTAAAAAGTGCTTGTGGCTAGTTTTTGCCTTAAAAATTTATTTGTATTTCAATTCTGGTATGGTTCTGCCACAGAATGTTCTTGATACTTCATATATCTAAAACCAGTAAAGCCAAAATGATAAAATGTAGGCTTTATGTGGGAAAAAATCAACAATAAGAGTTGAATCCTGAGAACCATTTTTTTTTTCTTTAAATCATGTCTAAATGAATGACTGAAAATACTATTTTCATGTCTGTTTTCTGCATTATAAACATAACTTTGATGTAAAAAATATTAACAGATATCACATCTGAGAAAATTCTGGAAATCTTCTCATGCTCTCCAGACTTTAGGAGAAGCGCTTGTGTGGCTCTTGTTTCTTCCTTCTCTTTCTTGATATCTTTTTTTAAAACATATTTTTGCTACAAAAAGATGGTTAGTGATTTTATTTCCTGTCCAAATTTTAACTTTGAAAAGGGCAGTTTAAAAAATACTCAGTCACTGGATGATAGGGGTGAGAATATGTAATGGATTAATAGTGATGTAATTGCAATATCTTTAAAGATGTGGAAAGTGAGGAAGTCTGCCGGAGATACAGAATAGTTGCTGAGCGTGTCAGTTCTCTTTTTAACAAGATGCTAGAACTTTAAGATAGAGTGAAAGTAAAATAGATATGATTTTTCCTTTATAGACAGCTTTGAAACAGTAAAGCTTACATTTTAGAATTTTATGTCTATTGATGGCAAACTCTTGTACAACTGGAGCGGATAAAATACTGTTTAGATGCTAATTGTTACTTTGTGCCTCTTAGGACATACTTGCATGATTAATCATTGGTCTTGTGATCTGATGTCAAGTCATTCTCAGGTTTGTGGGAACAGAACAGCAGCATAACTAAGATAGTGAATTCCATTTTAACTGTCCTTGCTTCATTCTGTATCTTTTCAGTTCATGTTTTTCGTGTATGAATGCTAGTGGGAGGAATGGTGATTTTGTTGTGGCAAGGGAGATATGACGGAATGCTCAGATATAAGTGCCAGGGTTGTGAGAGGCCAGGGTGGAAGTGTGTGTGTGCTTGTTATTTCCATCTGTTCTGCCTTTTGATGTGCAGTGGTATTTTGGAGTTCGGGGAGGAAGCTGATCCCTAGCCCTATAGGTCTGAGCATCTCTTCCTTGCTCCTTTGGGAAGATCTGAGAAATTTTTAAAAAATGGCGACAAAAAAAAATAACCTCTGTCCTTCCGGAGAACTGTGCACAAGCTTTTATGAAGTAAGATCCAAGACGTTTTGTTTCAACTCCTGCCCTCTGGACTGCTGTTTGAAGCAGTGGTAACAGGGACTGTGCAAGGTCACACGAAACACACTGGGTGTTCGGGCTGGGGTGAGCAGGCAGCCTGGATGGACACTCCCGTTCTTGGTTGTGTGGAGTGGGGCTGGACTGGAGGAGAAGAGTAAGGGGAACAAGCCATGCACCATCAGTTCGTGGTGCTCTTGTGTGTTTAAGGCTACGCTTAGTTCTTTGATTTGCTTCATTCTCTATATCTTTCCCTTTAAGACATTAATGTAATGTATTGTTAATCCAGAGTTAGTACAGTACCAAAATTAAAAACTTGGTCATAGAAAAGTCACATGCCCAACAAATATCAACTCATCACCAGCAGAGCTAAGCCCTAGATGCAGGCAACACGCAGCCCTTCCTTTTTTTCCAGTGCCTTTGAAAGGTGGCATATAGACAAAGGTTTGTCTGAGTCAGACGTTGGCATTCTGTGGATCACGCTCTGTTGTTTCAGTGAAAGTATTGTAAAGTACTGCTTGATGAGCTCTTTCCTCTTACCGGTTATTAATCCTGCAGAATGCAACAGTGACAAGAGTCTCCCTGTGTGCCTGTGCTCCTACAGCCTGCAGAATGCCGTACTGAGCGCCTGAAATCACTGCAAGTGCGTCTCTGTTCCCTTATTCATGCAGTTAAGAAGAGAGGACTGAGGCAGGGCATGGTCTAGTCAACACGTCTCTTCTTACAGTGATAGTTTTACAGAGTTACTTTAATTAGTTCTCCAGCATTTAGAAAGTGATCTGATGAATAAAGATGGAATGCCTGCCAAGCATTTCCAGTTACCATTGTTATCTCTGGAGCTGCATGCTTGCTTTCATGATGCATGCTCAAACCTCTTCTTTTATGGATTTTTAATGTTTCAGTTCTGATGAATCTAAAATTCTAGAAGATGTTCAGTATTATGATACAAATCTCTCTGTTGATAAAGCTTTTTCTGTTGATTTTTACTGCAGTTGTGATTAAGTTAATCCAAATTGAATTGCAGTCAAAAAGCCTTTGTATAGTCTTGAAGCCTGCTGAAATGCTGCTTCTAGTAGAAAATGAAGGCAGCTTTCCTACCTTATGATTTTAGTAAGAAATAGAACTGCCAACTCTGGTTCCTGAAGACAGTGCTTGAGATGTTTGGAAAGATCAATCTGTAGTACACAAAACCTGCAAGTTCATTCAAGCAGTGCCTGTTAGGATCCTACTGTCGCGTGAATTGTCTGGTTACTTGCTCTAGCTGCTGTCTCAGAGTTGCGGTACAGACACAGCCCTACAAAACCCCAACCAAGCAGCATCACAGGCAGCCAGGTGGTTTAGAAAGGATGCTTCTTATTCCCTATGGTTTTATTGGGGTGTCACTCCTTCCACATCAAATTTGGCTTCTGATTTAAAAAGAGGACGCTTTCCCTCCTCCTCTCTTGAGCAGTAGGGAGGCTTCAGAGGAACTGCTACGGAACAGTTATCTTCCTGTAAGCTGTTGTCTTTTTCTAAGGTGAAGATACCTACTTTTTCAGAAGTGAACTGGAGATTATCATTTGCAGTTTTGTGTTTTAATCAGTTGTTTGCTGTTATAGAGACAATTAACACTTCATTTCAGAAGGCTTCAGGGGATGTTTATAGAAAGTAGTGTAAGCAACTCTAGAAATAATGACTTGTATTTCCTTTCACTGTTGAAACATATACTTGCAATCTCCAATTTTTGCTTTATGAGATAAAGTATGTACATGCCTCCTGTGCATCACTGCAGTTGATTTCTACTCATTTTTGTTTTTGCATGTTGGGGTGTTAAGGTAAACAAATACTTCATTTTAAAATATGTTTGAACATTAAACTTGTGTTTCAGGGTGACTACTGGGACATGGTACAAGAAATGAGGAGGGTTTTTTCCCCAACTTGTTTTTTATTCAATTAGATGGTCTAAGGGAACCTTGGTGTGTGCTTGCAGGTGGTTGTGGTTTGTATCTTCAGATGCCTTGACTGTTGGTAATAATCTACTTCTCTTAGAGTACTTGCAGCTCTAACAGATATCCTTGGGTTTTGGTATGGGACTTAATTAGTAAATACGTAAGCCATCTCCAGAGCATCGGTAAGCTTACGAAATAGAAAAAGTGGAGGGAGGGTAGATGGAGAAGGTAAATGAAGTGGAGCTAAGGGGACTGGGTGAGGAAATAGATGATCACACTTGCAAAAGATTCCCGAAGTTGGTGCCTGTAGTAAGTGAATAATATCTGTCTCTTCTTTGTGTTTTTCTCGTTTTGTTTTGATTTTTTTTGATTCCTTCAAGACACATGAGTAAAGATGGAGGATATCACAGTGCTGTTTTCACAGGCATCCTTCCTCATCTTTGTTCTGACATGGTAGAGAGGATTGTAGAGACTGGAGGTTGCTAGGAGAGTGGGGTATCTTGTTCTTTAGCAGTAGTCTTTGATTTCGTGATATCTGTAGCTGCTTCTGCTGGCAGCTGCTTTATGATGGCTGCAAAGTGTGTGCACAGAGACACTTTCTGCATATGGGGGAGATGGATTTAATTTGAGTTTTTGAAATAAAATAATTCTACTTATGAGGGGGTGCTTTGTGTCAAATCAGGCTAGATAATTGCTCCTAATACTACTTTTGCAATATGAAATAGTTTTCCTGTGGTTGATTGATTTGTTTCTTTTTAAGAATAGTGACAAATGAGTCTTATTGGAAAATTTTTTCGTAATAGACTTACTTAGAGAGGACCATTA